CAACGTTGAGCTAATTGCTGCTTATGCAAAATCACAGAGCATGCCATCAAACGTGCTACACAAAAATGCTCATATCCTCAAAGGATGGGCAACTTTCTCTGTGATTGAATAACTAGTGCTCTGAGTGAGAACTTCAAGGTCATCCCATGTTCCAGTGCTTTCCTTCAGGATGTTTTTTCCACAGGGTCACACCTGGGTATCACATATAAGAGGCTGTAGCAGATAATTTGCTTACAATTAGTCAGAAGTTGGAGGTTGTTATTTCATGCAAATAGGGTGTGAGGAAAGAAGGTTTTAAATAGCGGCTTCATCTGAGGCCATCTTTGACCCACAAACACACCAGCATTCATTCAAACATAACCTTGTACACATATTGCACAAATCAACACACCTGCACAAGCCAGCCCGGCTGCCTCACGCTGTGACTAATCTAACGCCTTACAGAGGGGGCACGGTTCCGCTCCTCCTCCTCCATACCAGACACCGCCAATGACGAGAGAGAAAACAACAAGCCCACCAGAAGCAGCCTTTGGACCCCAAAATTAAAAGCCGCGTATGACAGCCAGCTCCTGCCTCATAATGCATCCCGCTTCCTGACCCCAGCATCTCCATGGCGACGATGGTGCAGTGCCATTTTCATTTGCTGACTGCAGCTGGTCATCGCCTCTGCCCTTTCGGTCTGCTGGAAGCTGCAAGTTTACAGCTACAAAAAGCATCATGAAATGTCAATGAGTGATTCTGCCGCAGAGTAGCTCTCCTTGAGAGTGAACATGAATGTGATTTGATGGTGAATATTCACAAAAACAACAACAACAAATCAGACCTGACCCTGAAAGCTTGCTATGCATACATGCGTATAAGCCTGGATCCAACGAGAATATCTTCTGCCTAATCCAAGAGTGGCCTGGTTCAGTGGTAGGACGGAGAGACTGCTGCTGGATGAACATTAATGTCTGGACTGACTTCTCTCCAGAACTATGGGTTCTATCAAGAGGAGACTGGGAAGCTGGGAAGGATGGGACCAGAAAGTGTGTTTATATAGGGAATCAAAGATGCATTCACGTAAAGAGCTACACTTGCCTCCAGTGCATCTTCTTTTTTTTCTTTATCATTATTAGTGCATACCACAGTGACCAAGCAAATACAGAGAGGCCTTCTGTATCGTATTCAACGGGATGTGTCGATAACAAGCTACAACCGAGTCCCAGCAAAGGTGTCACGCCGCTCTGCAAAATGAAACCCATTCTCTTGCCTGCATTGACTGACCCCGGCTTTGCTGTGGAGAGCTGTTGCATAGCGATTTGGTTGCCACAGCAGATTTACTCAGGCGCGTCCACGCACATTGGCCACCCGCAGGCCACGCAAGCCCATCCTGCCTGACTTTAAGCGCTGACAACATGCAGGTTAACAAACCGAACGCATGTACGCAGCTGCCGCCGACAAACACGGGGGTGTTACGAGTGGTGGAAAAAAAAGAGGAGGCACTGAATCATCTGGATCCTTACCTCGGGTCTGAGCTGCCAGCCCTTGTTCCAAAGAAGAGCCGGGTGTGGTTACGAAAAATCCTTTTGGTTTGGGGGCGGCGGGGACGACAACGAGCGGAATCCCATAGCGAGCGAAGCGTCCATAGGCGGAGGTGGTGGTGGAGTTGTCGGTGACTGGAAATAAAATAAAAGAGCGAATGGAGGAGCGAAGGAAATATGTCTGAGTGTGATCGTCCGTTTTCTCCTTCTGCCTGTCACCTCAGCATCTTTATCTGTCGCTGCGGATCCGTGACGTGACAACTCTGTGATGATCAGCAGCCTTCCTGCGCGCGCGGCCCCGATTCGATCGCCCCTCGCAACAGCACGGCCACGCGCGCGAGGGGGCCCTCTTTAAAGCTCGTCCCCGCGGTTTAGCGTTGCGCGCACGCGCAGTACACAGTCACCGCGTCTGCGTTTGTTTTCCCAGCCCAAAGCGTATGCGGAGTGTCATCGTATATGGACGTACAAAGGAGATATGAGAAAATGATGTTAGAGGATAATATGAAGGATACAATCGGTTTGGTTTGGAACGCGGCCACAAAAGGCGGTTTTTTATCAATAACACTAGGGGGCGGCATTAAGCAAAATACGCCATTGCTATACAAACAACAAGACTCAGTGATGAAAAGTGTATTTTACAATACAAAACATACGATACACGGTTTTTATTTAAGTGGAACAGAAAAAAAGTGCGACAACAAAGATATTGTCAAAAAATGTTGCATTTACATGTAGTGATTACGTGATTTTCTTGTAGTTTAATCTAAAGAAAGGAAAGATGATATAGTAAAACAATTGTAATGGAGTTGGGGTAAATAAGTTACCTCAAAACTCTGCTTTCGGTCATGTGAAATAGAAAGTTTAAACAGGACTGCATAGAGTTCTGTGAAAAGCCAAGTGCACACAAAATACTTCTAATTAAAGAGGGCAAGTAATAGCAAGGTGTTGCTAATCAAATGATCATCAGCAAGTGTGAGCATCTCTATAAAAGCAGAGGTTTTGGCATTTTGCTGGTCCGCAGGACTCAGATGTGTGTTAATACAATGCTACACAGTGCGATATAGGGGAAATTGCAAAAAATCCATCTTCTCTAGTCTCTTCTCTCTAAGTAACACAGCTTGGGAATGCAAAATTGCATTTAAACAAACCACACGAATTCTGGAACAATGTCCTTTAGAAAGATGAGGCCAAAGTGGACATGCGTGGCCATAAATCACAAAACCAAACACAGCATATCAACACATCATACTAACCATGAAGCACAGCCGTGAAAGCATTATGATATGGGTTTGGTTTTCAGCCACAGGACCTGGGCACCAAGACCCTAAGGCCACCTACAAATCTAAAACTGAACAGCTGGAAAAGAATCAAGGTGTTGCAATTTTCCAGTCAAAGGGCATTCTTCAACTTGATTTAAATGCTTTAGTGGATCTTAAAAGAGCTAAAGATAAACAGGGGCCTATAAACCTCAATGAACAGAGACAACATTGTAAAGAAAAAGTGGGCCAAAACTCATCTGCATCAATGGGAGAGACTGATGAAGTCATACAGAAGTCATGACACAGACATAACACATATAAATAATAAAAATGTAATGTCAGCAAAGTACTGCAGTAGAGTTAGATTTACATCACAGTTTCTAAATCCTTACTTTTACACATATATATTGCATATGAAAATAATAACATACTAAAAATGAAAATACTAAAAATACAACCCTAAGAAAATGCGGTTTGTAAAAAGACTATCCCATTTTTATCTGCATAAAAATAAAATATCCAGTGAAAAGATATGTAAGATTACTGTAATATAGCTCCATCTGCAGAAAAAACTGCAAGATTGCAATACAGTTATTTCTGTTTGATTCTATCTAGCACGCTCAGTGATATTTTCCCTGCACCACTATGGTGCATTGCTGTGGAACAATTGCTATACAGTGTATATTCAGCACAGCTGAAGATTTAATTTGTTTGGAAACCGAGTCTTAATAATTTCCTGTTTTGCACAGCTTTGATTCAATTACATTTGAGATTAGTCATTGGCATCATGCAATGCACTGTAACTGAACAGCAGTTTTACTAGGTTTATTCCAATGATTACATTGACTTACTTTCTTTTAATGTGTACTCTCATTCATTTTATTTTTGTTATTTATTCTCTCTTTTCTGTCAGGGGATCAAAGAATTCTCAGTATTTTTTAAAGCCTTTAAGCTCTTTGTCACACTATCTTTGAGAATTTAGCCCGCACAAAAGTGCTGTGGAACATCAGATAAACATCAGCCACAGCCATAAGTATCCTCCTATTTGCAGATATCTGGGTCAACATACGATTGCAGGACATTTTCTGTCCCAGCCATAATTTGAAAATAATGAATTCATAAATACTAAGGTATGCATTTACTGTGTAAATACACCATTCCTGAGACAAAACGTAAACCTATTGTTGGTTTGAAAAACATTATTTAAAAATACAAAATGGCCTTTGAGAACCTCTGAGAAGATCTCATTTAGAAATGTCAAAACCATTTACTATCAGCATATTTTTTTTTAAAAAAAGGAAACCATTCACAACATATGTGCATTTCAGTTACCAAAACCTATTTAGCCTGGAGGAGGAAGAGACAAAAACAGGGAGACAACCTGACAAAGAAGAAGTGACATGGTTGAGTCATGTGCTAGCAACATGGGTTGACCAAAGGTCAGTCCTCTTTGACGTATTTTGTCTTTTTCCAGTGATTTCTGAAGACTGAGTGTGTCACTCTAACTGCAAACCCATTGCCCATGTTATCAAAAGAAGACAAACTCATTTCAGAGTTTCTGTCCTTTTATTTACATAAATACATCCTTGACTTTCACAGATCATTAAATTCCACAGATAATATCTTTTTCCGACTAATTTCTTTTTACTCAAACTTAAACCCATGTCACGATTGATAAAATGATCAGAAATGTTGTTATTACCTATTGATCTATTGCCTTTGTAACATTCTGAATTATTATATAATTGGTGTATTTGAGCAAAGATGTAAAAATAAATACTGAAAAATGCTTTAAAAAATTGTATCTTTGATGCTTGAGCTGGAATTGTTTTACAAAACCCACAGAAAAAGACAGAAAAAACGTCAAATAAAGGGTCCTTTCCCTTTTTCTGTCTTTAAAATAAATGTATTCATCTATTCATCTATCTATTTATTAATTTATTCATCTTTCAAATATCACCCAGTTCCTGTCAAGCGTTTGCAGTTCCGTATATCAAATGGCAGAATTAAAAACTGTACGAAAGCTTTAATTATTTCCTTTTTTAAAAACGGTTTTGGAGAATAAATGATTATAAAGACCCGAAGTTGACAATTGCTTTGGTGTTCCCGAAAGTCCTCGCGATGGCAGGTGTGTTAGCATTACGGAGCTCTGTAAAACAATGTCAGAGTGGGAGCTCTGTCTGTCATAACGCTGCCTCGTCATTGTTGGTGACGTCCCCCCTTCCACCCGGCCAGAGCTGTGTTGGTAGCTGGTAGGCAGGAAGCTAGCTGCTGGCTAACCTGCCGTGCTACCTCCTCCGCCTCCGAAGGCAGCTGAACGGAGCCGTGAATGAACCACGCACTTCAATGCATCCCGTGTGGCCGCGATGGCAGCGACAGAAACGGTCTGAGCCTTAGCTCTTAGCCATGTAGCTCAGTTGTCTGTTATATCTGTAGTTAATGTTAGTGTGATTCGTGCCCTTAGCTGTTTCCACCAGTAGCTAGCTTTTTTTCTGTCCGGGATAGACAGCGGCAGCTAGCCCCCCTTTCTCGCCACTACAGGAGGATGCTGAAGCTGTTTGGTGCTCTGGTTATCCTCGGACTGGCCCTGGCGTGCATCACCTCCTGGGTGCTGGACAGCTATGACACGGCTTGGCACCCTAAACGGAGCGTTCAGCACCCGACTGTCGGTGATGGAGCTGAATCTAAGGGGAGTTCTCCACCATTTCCCGGCGAACACTTGAACAATATATTCTGGTTTGTACAGGTGGGCTATTATTCCGTCTGTAGTGATTATTTACATCTAGTGTGTATACAATACAGGCGTTTGACTTTGTGTTAGGGTTAAACTCTCTGAATGATTGACAGAAAGGGGTCAGTGTCCACAGAAGTGCTCCGATGTTGGGTGAAAAGGTGTTTCAACACAGAAACACAGCAACTCTGAGCCAGACTCTTGTTCCGTAGCCTTTATACCACAAGAGCTGAAAATGTCACAGAGCCCCATTTAAAATATTTGCCTTTACCCCTCACCTCCATTTGTGTGTGTGTAATTCAAGGTGTCCGATATTCACATTAGTCGATTTCATGACCCAAGGCGCATCCCAGACTTTGAAAAGTTCTGCACCGACACCATAGAGGTGATCAAACCAGCTCTTGTGCTTGCAACAGGTACAGTGATCTCTAACTAGTTCCTGTTAAATTCTTTGCATTATAATATGACTGAATGGGTGTGGCTCAAGATCGTGCAGTGCCATCAGATGACAGTTTGCTTACAGAGATTTCCTCCTTTTTTCCTTTACCCCAGGGGATCTGACGGATGCTAAAACAGAGAGTAAGGTGGGATCCCTCCAGCACGAGGTGGAGTGGCAGGCGTACCACAACATCCTAAAGAGGTCACGTGTAATGGAGCGCACCAAGTGGATTGACATCCGCGGAAATCACGGTGATTAACCATGGCACTTATTTAAAAAATTACTATGGTTTCTCAAGGCTCACTGATTCAGCTGAAACATCTTCAGTGTGCCGAGTGTACAGCTAAGATTTTCAGAAGAATCCATGGAGCATCCCACAGGAAGTGGTTCTACCCCTCCCCTTCCCTTTGTCTGTGACTGGATGTGAAACAAGACACCCTGAATTTGTAACTGTCAAAAAAAAGGGAAAGCTGTTCATTGGATCTGCAGTGGCTCTGACAACTATTCTGCTGCTGATTACAGCTGATGTGTTTCCCGGATGTTTATCTGTGGGTCCTTTAGTAAAGGGAGATTTTTCTTTGTTACAATACAGTACAAGAATAGTTCATCGGTCACCTCCCATACAGCTTGTACACTGCTTAATCTCACAGTTATTTCATTTTTCCTCACAGATGCTTTCAACATTATTTCACTGGACAGCATCACCAATTATTACAGGTTAGTACAAAGTACCAGTAAATGGCCAGTAAAGTCCCTTACTGCATTTCACAGCAACAAGAGAAAGCTGATTGGAGTTTGCTGTGGCATTTGACGCCCTTAAACCAGTATAGTTGCAGACTTGTTTTCCATTAATAGTTCAGCTATGTGAACATCCTGACGACAAAAATAGAAGCAGGACCTACACGAACACGCTGTTTCTTTTTTTCTTTTTTTTCATGTTTTATGTGACATTGCTGATGCTTCTGTTAGCGCTGGCTGGTCTTTAATCTTCCCGATATTCTTTAAAGATCGCATTTACTTATTTATTTATTTAAAAAAAATCTGTTTTATGCTGTACAGTAGCTTGATGCTCGTGTGTAATGTTTCTCAATTTTTATTCTAGGAAATACTCAGCCAATCAGAAAGTAGGCTCTTTCCACTATGTTCACACGACCCCCTTTGGCAACTACTCCTTTGTCTGTGTGGATGCCACCCTGACTCCAGGCCCCAAGAGGCCGTACAATTTCTTTGGTATTCTCAACCAGGTGAGTTTGTGCAACATCTCTTCATGAACAATTCTGAGATCTTTAGAAAGTGCCGACTTCTTGAAGGAGCTCTGTTAGAAAATGTGGTCCAACAAACGGTAAAGAAAACAGGAAAGAAAATGGTAAACGCACAGTGTTTTAGTTTCTGAGTAACAATAACTAAAGTATCTGTGTAGCTGTCTGTTGTTCATAAACATGACGTTTTTTTTGTCATATCTGACAGACTCAAATGGACTTGCTGGACACGTTCAGAGCTGAGAGTCTGAAAAGCAACCAGTCGATCTGGTTTGGCCACTACACCACCTCCACCATCGTCTCTCCTTCTTCAGGAGTACGAGACATGATGAGGCAAGAACAATCCCCCGATTTCGAATCTTTTTTTTTTTTTTCTTCCTATTTTTATTTTAAGGGTGAGCTGAGGAAATGAAACCTTTTTTCCATCACGTCATGGTGCAAACATTCAGCAACCTCCTCCTTTTGACAGCTAAAATTGTGTCTCAGTCTTAGAATGATAAAAAACAAAAGTAAGAAGCATTTTGACTGGCTGCTTGTTTCAAATTCATGCTGTGGAGTAAAGTACATATTCAACTGCCTCTGTTTGCAGACACTTAACAAGTCTAACTAAAATTTCTACGTTTTTGTGTTAAGATCTGCAGTTGCATATCTGTGCGGCCATCTGCACACTCTGGGTGGCCTCATGCCTGTGCTGCACAGCCGGCATCCCCAAGGCACTCTGGAGCTGGAGCTGGGCGACTGGATGGACAATCGCAGGTGTTTATATTCAATAGGTGTTTCTAACAGTAATTTTCTTACTTGTATTTCTGTTTCTGTCGTATTATCGCCCATATTTTTCTAACATCTTTCTACAGGTACAGAGTTCTGGCCTTTGACCATGACCTGCTGAGTTTCTCTGATCTGAGGTTTGAGCAGTGGCCTGCAGTGCTCATCACGAACCCCAAGGATGCACAATATCTGCACCCAGGGGTGGAGCCACTGGGTCGAATACGAAGGTCGACGCACATCAGGTGTTTTGTCTATGCGTTGAATTTTCTGTTTTCTTATGTTCCAGTGCAAATGAATTTCAATTTCTGATATTTAAGAATTCATTTTCTTTCCTTTTCTGAAGGATCTTGGCCTTCTCAGAGGCCCCAATCACTGCGGTGCATGTGAGTGTAGATGGGGAACCACTGGGGAAAGGTCACTCTGCTGGAGGCCCCCTTTATGTTCTGCTATGGGATCCGTCTCTTTACCCCACAGGACTGCACACAATCAGAGTTAAAGTGGAGGTCGGTGCAACATTCATTTATCTTCCACTTTATTGTGTTGTGAGACTTTTGAATATTTCATGGGTCTTTTATTAGATTAAGAAGATTTGTTTTCCTTTGTTGAATTATGAATAGCTGTATTAGATTTGCTGTCTGGGAATTGTAGCTAGAAAACACCCACTGGGGGATCGGGGTTTGTTGTACTCAAATACTGCTCCTACCTTTCTCTAAAAACTAAGAACTTCTTGTCTTTCTACATGTGCATGTGAGTCAGGACGCGGCAGGCCGGTCATCAGTGCGGGAGCAGCACTTTACTCTGGAGGGAGATCTGACTCCTACCTTCGGCTTCGTGCAGTCTTTCATCCTCCTCACAGATCACTATGTCCTGGGCCGTGTGGCCTTTATATTCATGATGCTGCTGAATATTGGTGTTCTCATGGCCTTCAGGTTTATGCCTGTTCTCTCAGGCAGAGGTGAGCTGTCTCTGACTAACCTTCAGATAAATACATCATCATAATGTAACAGACTGTTCAGGTTCAGTCGCACTGAACTTGAGACACAGACAGGGTTCTCAATAAGGATGTCAATGTCAGCTTTTAAAATGCACACTATAAGAAGTCTCTCTGCACTGTGCGCAATCATAGATGTTTGGTATTTTATTATGTCTACAGGATTGACCTCTCAAGTGTGTATGTCACTCCGCTTGGTCAGTAAAATAGACACTTTCTACTACTCTCTGCTACTGTTCAACCTGTGCACGGCCTTAGGTGAGTTTAATGCTGTGCCTTATTCCCATTTAACTTTTTCTATCCTCTTTGTCCAAAATTGTATTTTATCTGCTATTCTACACTGTATCTGTCATGTGTAATAAACAATAGAGTTGTTTGTGATTGCCAGATTTGAAGTTTGTACAAAGCAATGTACAAATAACATCTGGTTTTTACAAGATTACCCAGTAATCTCTCCTATGTTGCTGTAATCCTCTCTTCCTTCAGGCCCGTGGTTCATAGGAGAGCTGATTGATGGCCACAGTGGGGCCTGCTTCGCCTTTGGAGTGTTCATTGATGGACATTTCCTAGAGGGCAGTCTCACCTATGTGGTTGGTGTCGTTCAAGTAAGAACATTGAATCTTCCCCTCCCCCCTTGTTTTGGACACATTAGCCTCTCTGTGATTCTGTGCATACATGTTATATGTCCAGCTGTAGACTGTTACATTAGGAAATGTGAACTTCCTGCCCAGCACTGACTGCTGGATAGGAAAAACTAATAGCTTGTGAACACTGTGGCACCCTTAGAGGTGGAAAGCTTGGTCAGGACCTGTATAAAAATAAATCAGTGACATGGAAATGAAGGGAGCATTTCAGAAGTTCCCCTAAAGTACTTAATAATAATAATGATCATGATTCCTGAAAACAAACTCTTTAGGATGGAAAAAAAATCACTGGTTGGGTCATATTGTCACGAACTGGATCAAAGGTCAGACATAATTGGGCAATGTCGCAAATAATGGAGTTAAAGAGAACTGAAAATTCTTTATTTAAACTGAAAGTAAATATACAGTGGCAAAATTTGGCAGAAAGAAAATTAAACCCAAAGTCAAGCTTAAACAAACTTGCCTGCTGGGGAGAAAAGAGAATGGTAGCTATAAGGTCCTTTTTAAACAATTAGTAGTTGTAGCAAGTAGCTAGCAGTAGCAACATATTTCCTCTAAAGACTCATCTGTTACACACTTCATGAACCAGAAAGAGGAAGGACAAAGCATGCAGATGGGTGGGGGAATTACAACATTCCCTCTCTAAAGCTAGAAGCTACGATATAAACTGTGGGTACTGCTTCATTCATAAATGCATGTTCTGTTCACATCAACTAAACTCCTTTCCTCTCTGCCAGCTCCTCTTCTTCAACATGCCCCTCACTTCTTATCTCTGCTGGAGCCTCCACCACCGTTGCCGTGGCAACACCTTCCGATCCCACTTCCTGCGGCCGGGCTGCCGCTGGAGGACTCTGGCTGTTCACCTATTCATGCTGCTCCTCCTCACCTGGCAGGCCCATTCCTGCTACTTCCTCCTGGAGACCTATGGCCCCATGGCCTTTTTCCTGTCTCCTGTGCGCACGTGGGCGTTAGTGCTCAGCCTGCTATTGGTCTACCGCGCCTGGACAAGCCCCGCCTCTCTCATTCGTGACACAAGCAAGAGCGTCTCTCTCTCTTGACAGTAATTGCACGGTACCGCCGCTGTTTCCCCTCAAGCCTGACTCTCAGATATATTTTGCTGTCTCTATCCACGGCGCAAGCCTCAGTTTTCCCTGCAAAGCAGCCCCTTCCTTTCTTTCTTTCCTCTATCCGAAGCCACTTCACAGTACATCACTCACTATCCTGTTTCTAGATAGTGTTGTTTACTTAATATGCATGTTGTTGTAAATCACCGGCGAGCACATTTCTGGCCATATTCATAGCAATCTGTACAGTGTAAAAAAAACAATCAAAAAATACCTTTGATACTAAAGGGTAAATTAGCCAATCTGAGCTATGTGACAGACTAGTCCAACGTATGCTGCTGTTGACAGTATACTGTATTAGAGTTGTATTCCCCTGTGGTTTAAGCTGAGTCATTTACTTGAGATTTAGCACTTTTTGGAAGTGTTGCCTTGGCCAAAATGCCACTTCACCACTGCCAAAGGATGAATAAGAAAGATTTCACCTTTCCTTTTCTTCTTCTCTCCTTAAACCCATTTTCATACGCTAACGAAGGCTGGATGTGCCAAAATGATCCTTGTGGTTTCCTTCTGATAACAACTCACGTGCATAAGAAAGGATTGAACCACCTTTTGTATGCTATATCCTTTTCCTTTTACATCTTGTGAAGGTGACGCCAGTAGTGGAACCTAGACGATCGTATTCTCAAGTTAATTTTACACACAATTATTACAGATAATCACATGAAGGGAAGTACAAATTAATCAAGTACTGTAGCTGATGTGTGTACAAGAGGTTTATGACTGCTAGTTTTCAAGTCAAACAACTGCCAGTACTGTTCAATGTTCACATTGGAATATTCATATCAAAACTCTAATGCCAGTCTTTACCAAAACACAGAGAAGCCGCCTCCACTTTTTTCATGTTCCTTCAAACATGACTACAGAAAGCAGCTGTTTGTTTCTCAGGAATGTGAGCAATTGAACAAAAAGCTGGTCCAAGTAGTACTTCAGGACAATGTTTTTGTACTCCTAGAGTAGCTCAGTAAACTAAACCCGCATTAAACAATCCAAATGTGTGGTGGCTAAAAAACAAAAAAAACGAAATGAATGTTTTAATAGCTTTGGTGAAATGAGATGAGCCAGCGCTATGCTGTTTTGTTTTTTTTTTGTTTTTTTTAATTTATTCATTGTTATTCTATTGTGTGATTTTTTTATTTCTCCCCACTGGTGTTTTAAATCTGCACTGGAAAGTATTCTTCATTGTCAGGATGAGTGTGGTTGAAAAGATTTTAGAGCATTCCTTGTGTTTGAAGTCGATCTAACTGATCAGCGTGTGTGTGTGTGTGTGTGTGTGTGTGCACGTACAAACATGTTTTCTCTATGTTGCTCAGATTGCTAATCTGTGGGAACTGTAAACTAAGTCTTTCAGTCCTTTCTAGTCAACAGTAGCAGTCGCCTGGATTCTACAAGAACTCATCTGAAGTACAGAAATGTGTTGAAAGACACATTAAGTGTTTTATTTTCTTTTTTTTTTATCCTCAGCCATACACAGCACGAACTGTGGGGAACTGACCCTCATGGTTTAATACTAGAACAGCTGCCAGACACTAAATAAATGAAAGTATGATAACAGTGGTTTAATTACTTTTTCCACCCCTTTCTGCACAGACAAGTCTTCATTTGAATAGGAGAACCACCAAGTGTACAAACAGGAAACAGATGGATATTTAGAAATTATGGACTTTTGTTATTAGGGATTTCTTCTCTAATCACGCTCAGTACCTCAGTCAAGCTGTGTAATCTGTCCACAAGGAGGCAGTGTTGAATGAATATGGATGAATCATGACTGCTGCATTTCACTCTCACTTTAAAATTATGCATGGGAATGTTTTTTTGTTTTGTTTTGTTTTTGAACAAAGCATCAGAACTGTGTTTTTATTAAAAGACGGGTTTATTAGTTTAATGGCGCTAAATGATTATGGTTAATAATGAGTCTGGATGTGATTGTTCTGTACTTTACACAAGAAAAACTGACAATGCCTCCACAACCATTTCAGCTCTTACAAGGAGTATATTGTAATGTGTTCAAACACTGAAGCATATGATTGAATAGATGAGGATTTTACACCTGCCACATATTTTTCTTGTGACAACTGAAATTAGAGCCGACCACTATTTTATTTTATTAATGGTTTCTAGTGCTGTGAAATAAAAATGTTCATTATAGTAAATAACTTTGTATAGATTTATTCATTTCCAAATGATGTTACACAGAAGGGAACACGGAGGCAAAACAGTGGAAAAAGAGATTTAAAAAACATACTGTATGCAATAATGGAAAAAACCCTTGAGCCACCCCTTATTTATGTTTTGTGTCCAACATGTGTTTTTGTCATTTTTAAAGTGGGCTTGAGCAATAGTTCTCTAGGCTTTCTGAAGGTTTTATAAAGTTTTATTCATTCTCAGGCCATTCCTTAGAGCTGAACACATCTTTAGACACTTTGTTACTAGCAACCTGCTGGAAGAACACAATTCATTCACAACATTCATTTATGTGAAAAGCGAAAGGCCAATTTCAGAAACGGTCTTGGTGGAAGGACTGAAAGAACCCATCCTTTAAGAAGGAAAACTGAGAAAAGGTTGATGTATGCAAATTACACAAGTACCAAAGTGAAAATCTGTGCAGTGATTGGTGTTATAAAGTAATATTTGGCATTTTTGGTGTAAATAATCATTTTGTGAGAAGGTCAGAGTCTCTACAGCCATCTGTAAAACACAGTGAAAGCTCCATCATGGTTTCAAGCTGCATTTCAACCAGTGTTGTTGGATATCTTGTTAAAATGAATGAAACTACGAACATAGAAATAAAGAGTCAGAATTTGATCCACCATGCAATACCATCTGGAAAGCATTTGATAGCAACGGCTTCATTTTTCAGCATGACACTGATCTCAAACACACTATATTGGAAACCACTTATTTCCCACTTTCCTAGCAAAATATGAAGAAATGAGGGGTGGCTTAAAACTGATGCCATCAACAAATAATGTTATTAATTGATTTTCTAGTGACCAAAACTGGACAACAGATTAGCAAAATTATAACCTGGTCTGTTAAATCTCAACTTCTACTAGAACATTTGGATATTAGTGTCAGACTTCAGCCTGAACACCATGAAAGTATAGATGGTTCAGTGGTTAATGCTAGTGATGGTGGTGTAATGGTATAGAGGATATGTTCTTCATTTAGCCTACCCAAATATAGCTACTGATCATGCCCATCCTGTTATGATCTGAGTGTACCCAGTAACTTTGAGTAAAACAGAAAAAGCTCTGCTAATTTTGCTATACTAAAGCAAAGAATTTCCAGGTTTTATCCCACATCAGCACCGTTAAGAGACTGATTTTTAGGTCAATGTCATGTGTCAGTACTGCAACACTGCTCTACATTTCTTTCACTGCTGCACCAATTTCCAAAAGACTAAACAAACTGTTGTTAAAAACCGAAGACTTGTTTGATTGCTAGATTTTATTATTTATAATTCAGTTGTAATTAGCTGGCCTCGGTTAATCAGCGCAATATTTTGACTGCAGCTCATTAAGTAACTTAATGGCAGAGATAACAGGCAGCAGTAAGGTTAATTTCCCATGGTGAGTGGTGAGAGCGCAGCCTCCACTGGAAACACTGGTGATTTTCTTCAGTGGGATATTTTTATGATTTGCTTGCCAATGTTTCCGCCTTTCATCATAGAGCAAAATGCATCTGCAAGAAAAGGGAAAAAAATGAAACTGCCCACAACAACTTATACAATTACAAAAATGTTGAAATTCATAAATACCTCCAATATTCTCTATACCATTCACCACAGTTTCCAGAACCTGAAGAGTGAAAGCAAGATTAAAGCGATGAAAAAGACAAAGATGAAGTGTGCAATTTGCAAAGGTGCTTATACAGTGAACCATACAGTGAACCACACAGCATCACCATTTCCTCTGTACCTTGATTCGACCTGATTTAATCCACTGGCTCAGCTCACACAGGGCAGCGTCTGCTTTGCTCATGTAGTTTAGCACCGTAAAACGTTCCCGGGTGATATTTTTACTTTGCAGGTTCTTCTGAGTCTCCTCGCTCAGAGGTGGTGGATATGGCACATCCTTGTTATACTGCGAGATCTGACCACACAGGATTATGTGGCTGCCGTTGTTCATCTGGAGATGAGTGCAAGTCGATGTGTCAGGTTGAGCTTACAGCACACAAAACACTCACTGTTACACCTACAGCTATCAAGTCCAACACTATTCTTTTACAGCACAGACGGTTTACTTCCCAAAAACGATTCATCCCCCTATGAAAAATTCATTCCTTTATGATTCTCTTCTACATAAAAGCTTGGCTGGTTATATTTTGCTGATATTCAGCAAAATATAGTTGTGATGGAAGTGTCCAGATGCATTTTTAACCCTTTCCAAAATGATTTATACCTTCACCTGCCTCACTATTAAGCCAATTGCTGTTTACTGTGCAGTATTTGAGTACACTCAGTATTTTCCAGATGTCTCTACAATTTTAAACAAATCCAAGCCATGTTGATTTCTAAAGCATTCCTGGGGGCTATAAATTGAAGTGAATTGGTATAAACACTCTCAGTTCATGGTCAGTACTAGGACATCTGCCAGAATGTAAGAAGCATTTAAATGCTTGTGAGGATGCCATAGGCTACAAAACCATATCCAAGTGACTCAAAGTTCCTGATGCCAGAAAAGAGCATTGTTAACAAGTTGAATGTATTCCAAACCATCAAGAATGGGAAAGGCTCCGTTAGAATACCTAAGGTGACACCTCAGCTCACAGCAGGCCAACTGTAACCCACACAACAGAACCAAGGATATTCTGCAGAATACCAGCAACTCCAGACGTTTTCACGGTTTTCAAAACAGACACTGCAGAGAAAATTTTACAAGGGGGATGGGGGGTCTTTATGGTCAGGCAAGGAAGACCACTCCTCAGTTACAGGCATACAAAAACTCACCTAGCCTTTGCAAAAGCTCATTTGGATTAAGAACCCTATAATTAACCCTATAGTTGCAAATAAGAGATAAAAAATAAAATTCTCATTGAGGTTTAAAATGTCTTTTCAAGAGAGACTTGCATAAAGATTTTTTGTCAATGTGTCAAATAAAATGCAAATTATTAAATATATAAAAAATTAATGTGCCTGCATTTCTTAAAACCTTATGTCACCTTCTTATGTTATTGTGTAGGAGGACACTTGTGCAGAGTACCTGTGCTATAACAGCATCACTAATGGCACCCCCTACGTTGTCAAAGTAAACATCAATGCCATCAGGACAGCTTTCCTTAAGCCTCATCGGGACATCCTCCAGGTGATAGTTGATGGCTGTGGAGAAACCTAAATCTTCCACTATAGCTTTACACTTCTCATCAGAACCACAGATCCCCACCACTCTCACACATCCATCCAACCTGCCAATCTGGGAAAAAACAAAACAAAACAAAAAAACAAGCAGAGCAATAGATCTACAATTTTATGGAAGTCTAGTGCATTTTTCCAACATCTCAGATAGTTTAGTGTATTTTGTAGACCTTAAACTATCAGGTACTTGTTGCATTTACCTGTCCAGCTATGGAGCCACAGGCACCAGCTGCGCCGCTTACTACCATCGTGTGATTGGCTCTTTTGGTTATGTGACCCTTCTCTCTGATACCCAGTAAGGCAGTGAGACCTGTTATTCCAACTGCACCCAAAAAGTAGGACAAATGTCCATCAACCAGCTGTGGATCAACCTGCAAAGAGACCAAAACCTGAGTGACATCAGCACACATACTGTAGCAGGTAAGCTGCTTTTAGTCAGTGTGTTTTGCAAACACAGGGTATGAATCAGTTCCTTCACATTTGCAGAACACAGTGTAATTTTTTTATGTACATATCATTAAGACAGGTTTCCTCTTCCTGTCTGCAAGAGGAAATATGACCCTGTTCGCCAAACAGTGGTGACACACAGCAACAGAGACCTTCTGTAAGTCACTTCCGGTCATAACAGCATGGGTTTGCCAAGGCCAGTTGAATGAAATGACCACATCTCCCGCAACAAAATTGTTGCAGCGGCTGGAATCAATCAGTCCCACACCTCCACCATCCACGAACTTGGAAATCTGCCATGGAGTCAGGTAATCAGCACCGGTGTCCTCATTCATTCTACATCGCTGACAGGGAAAGAGTTTTAGTGAGAGATTAAAAAAAAATGCAAAGACCACTGCAAAGTTGTTACTTTACTGTGCTGTAGTCTTTAATTTTAATTACAACGTTTAATTACTCCAGACAGCAAATGCTAAAGGTCATTACTGATGCCTGCTGTTGCTGGATCAATGTCATGTGTTTGTGTTAATACCATGTAAGGGTCGACTGAAAGATAAAGCGTCCGAACAAGAACTTCCCCATCTTTCAGGTCAGGTGCTAAATTAATCTCCTCCAGGCGGAAATTTTCCGGAACTGGCGCCCCGTTTTTACCTGTATGCAAAAATAGAAGGTTGAGTAAACACTAGCCACGTGATTGCAGTAATGGTGCAGTATCAGTTACTGTATTAAAGACTTAAAAACTCAAGGTGCAGAACACGATAAAAGAGGAGGGTAAAAAAGTTACACACCTGGTCGTGAGTTAAGAACGACTCTTTGCACCTGCATCTCGCTGAAATATCGCGAGCACCGAGGTTGAGTTTGTAGCAATGACTAAAACAGGCAGCAAACGTCAAGTTTCTGTGAGCGGTGGGCTCGGTTACAGTGTTAGAGAAAACAATGTGGACAAAGTATTTTACCGTCAATAGCAACACGTGAAGATATCCAACGGCTTATATTACCGAACAGGTTTCTTGTTATCAGTTTGCAGGCTAGCAGAATGTCAACAGAGACCACGAAGAAAGTCACGACCACAAGAGCGAGAGAATTCCGTGCTGCTCAAGTCCGTGTTCGTTTAAATCCCGCGAGGCTGACTGCTTAGGGTTGGTGGATTTTTTTGTGTTTTTTAGAAGTTTTGTCTACATTTAGATTTGCTAGTAATTCATTCTTTTTTTTAAATGCAGTATATATTAAAAATAACATAAGCTCTAACTTGAGATACCTGAATGAAAGTGCGACATTATTCAACCGATGTTCCGGTGCAGCGGGGGTTTACTATCTTGCCAGTGATAAACTGTGATAAACTAGGTGCCGTTGAGCCGTTAAGACATAAACGGTACGCGGCCTCAACAGCCCCATTTTATTACAGTCGAGTTTATCAACACTGCAGCTAATTAACATTTTAGCAGTTCAGTCGGTCCGTTTGACATTTACATATTCACTGTTAATGTCCCGTTGCACCATCGACTGCTAGCTAAAACTGAATCAAAGTAGGACTGGGGAAGTGACGCCTAGTGAGGGGAAAAAAAAGTTTGATGCTTAAATCAGTCGCTACCGTTACACTATTCTAGCATGCCGTCAGGATTAGGTGCAGCGGGGCGCTGTCGAAACAGCGAGATGATGAAGGCTTATGTGCCATGGAAGGGCAGAGTTTAATGTAAGTACTGCATAAGGGCTGTTTTGCATGCTGCTAAGTATTTTGTTTATGAAGGCGAATGCTAAATGGGAAGCTATTAATGTGTCATTATTAGACAGCGAGCTTTGATCTAACCCCTGTTTTGTTTTTTGTTTGTTTTTTTGTTTTGTTTTTCCTTTCAACCCACGTCCTTTTCACAAAAGCGAGTTGTAAAAATCCCAGAAAGCCCCCAGACTACCATTCATACCAGCGATGTCACATTTATCTGAAAAGTCCCTCCTACGTAAACAGTGACACTTGTAAGTTAGGTTGGAATGTGGCGACGAGCTAAAACGTGACTTTATTAAGGAGAAGCATCGGTTTTGGGCAGTCGTTGCAAAAGCGTGTCAGCATTTACAGTGACATTTATGTGCACTTTTTAGAAACCTCTCCTGTTGTGTACATGATAGATTAGATTAGATGTACTGATTAAGAATGTGGGCTCTAAAACGTCAGCACGCAGAGGGAAGATGCTTGTTTTCTTGTGATTTCATGCTTTCCTTTTCTGCACTTTGTTCTTACTGTTTCCAGAAAATCCAGAATCCAGAAAACGAGCTGGATTCCTCAAACATTAATGACTAACCCATTGATCAACCAAATGTTACAGCCATAAACTTTGAAAACTTATATTGGTGAGTCCTGTCAAGTAATTTGAGATCCACAGAGAAGAAGGAGAGACCGTGATTTTGCCCAGTGTTGTAGTAGAAATTAAAGGATGCAGCCATAATTAATTTGATCCTTTACACATATGAAAAAAAGGCTATGCACTTTGGTGAAAAAACACCCACATTTTCTTTTGGTTTATTGAATTGTTTCAGTTCACTGAAGTCCAAAGTCAGCTGATAGGCTTCAGACCCCCTGCAACTGTGATATGGTTCAGAAAAGGGGTGGATGGTTGACATGAATGTGTACATACATGTACAAAGAATAGTTCTGAATAGAGAACACCACAATACAGTTTCGCTAAAACTTAGCGCAAGCACTCAAGGCTCTTTCACTTTTGTTTTTAAATAATACTCATAATAATAGTAATAATAATAATACTGTCATTGTCGTCATACACACACACACGCCTGTTGTTGTCTTCTTTCTGTCTATTTGTCTCCATGATGATCTCCTCCTTTTCCTCCTGTCAGCACCACTTGCCAATATCACTATCTGTTGCACTTGTTCACTGCCCCATTCGGATGACTGTTAAAATAAAAATCAATGCACAGATAGAGCCCTTCTTGGGAAAAGCACAGATTTGAGATGTGTCTACTTGTACAAAGGGAGTTCTTTTTTTTTGCTTGTCACAATAATAATAATAACATAATAATAATGATGCAAGTATAAAATATTCACTGGATACTTGCTTCTTCATTTGTGAGGTTCGGCAGGCCTTCCACTGGTGAGAGCAGCCTGGCTTCTTCATTTACATCCAACCACAGTTTCAGATTATAAATCCACTGCAATTGTGAGGTGCTGCTACAGCTATCCTCTTGTTAGCTTGCTGAATTGGTTGAGCAAAAAATAAAAACTTCCATTAGCTTCCTCCAAAGGGTGCACGGACTCGGCCTTAAGAGATTGGATGAGGATGAGCCACTATTTTTCCACATCAAAAGGGGCCAGTTGAGGTGGTTTTGCAGACATGTTCCACTAGGAGGAGGCCCCAGGGCAGACCCAGGACACACTGGACAGACTGGAGAGACTGGAGAAATTACTCTAGGCTGGCTTGGGAATGCCTAGGTGTGCCCATGGCAGTTGGAGGAGATGGAAGTGGTGGAGGCCCCTGGGCACTTGCGCAGAATGCCCATTAGATAATCAGGCCGAGCATACAGATAGTCAGCTGTTATATTAGTGCATTCCTTTAATTGCACCTGTGTGCTTCCTCTGATTAGTTATCTGTGAAACTGCCAATTTCTACTTGGAGTATATCTCATTTCTCTGTTCCACGTTTATTTTCACAGTTTACTTATTTGGATAGCTGTTTTTCATTTAGAAATCCTTACATGCTCTGGCTCCAGTCTATGATTCAGTGTGGAGATTTTGTCCTTATCTGTATTTTGCCAGGAAATTGGGCGTGCATTTCGCAATGTTTCCTAAGGTAATGAAAATACCCCATTGAATTGAAGACAGTGTGATTCCTATGAAGTAGCATTTCATTGTTTCACATTATTATATGGAAAACTAAATCACACAACCCTTGTTATAAACACTTTCTGTGCCCCACACCCTCAAGGGCCTTTCTGCATTTGCCTCTAGAAGCAATCTTCCGTCTGCTGTTTCCACGTGTAAACATTACACATAGATTTCACAGAGAAAATATTCAATAGAAAGAAAACGAAGTGTGAATGCAGTGAAAGGAAAGTGAACGTCCTTCCCCTTCAGACCTTCGGTCCTCCCATGTGTGTTGGAATTTCCCGCATGGACTGAGAAGGATCTTGCTCCGTAAATTACGGCGCCTTGCATGTCAAAGGAAACCCCTTATTTGGGCAGGGAAGTGGGTGTGGCCAGCGCGCTGGTGGTGTTGGAGGGCTGGGTTGGTGGCTGGGTTAAGGGAGGGGGGAAATCACAAGACGAACAGAGACTCGCAGAGCAAATAGGCCGCATTGCCAGTGTGTATGTTTTTAGTGCAATCATCGTGCAATAATGTGCAACAGACAGCGGCATCACTACGCTCGCGTTTCTCCAGATTAGCACCCCGTTTCCTATCGGGAAGGACTCTTGTTTACGCAGCGAGGTTGACCCGCGCACCCCTCCTCTCTCCCCTGTCTCTCCACAAATTTTTCCCTCTTTGTAAGGGGAGGTGAAGGGAAGAAAAGTAGCAGTGAGTGAGTGAGGTCAGCAACATAGCATGAGTCAACCTCGGGGATATATGCAGTCATCATCGCAGGAGTGCATTGTGCGGGCCTGCTGCCGCTGCTGGCCGCACAGAGCTGCGAGTGTGCGATCCTGCGGGCTCAGCTGCCGTTAGTAGCAGCTTTCATGACAAACACAGTAAGTATCGGAGAACACGGGGCCGGAGCCACGCTGTCGATGACTGTGGCGTTGTTGATACGGTCGACACTGCGCGTTATTGTGGCCACAGCTTGCTGACAAAGTTTTGTTTACCTCGCCCGTGGCGGACTGGGCGGTCGACAGATCGGAGCTCCATGCGGGGCTTACCGCTCGCCCTGTGCGACGTGTTTAACGTGCCAGTGAACGCGGATCGCAACGAAAATACATAGAAAGAAACGTGACGTATTAATTTTTTTGACAAGTTGAATCGATTAGCGTTGTCTGTTAGCCGTGCCACCACACTTTTTTTCCTCTCTCGTCACGGGGAGCTGCATTGTTGCTTCGGTTTGTTGCAATGGGACATGGCATTAGTGAGTAGATAATCCGTTTTCTGCAACAAAGGGCTTCTCGTAAAACAGGCTGGAAACAGAAAGTGATGTGGAGGGAGTGGGTCCAGGGCAACACGTTGAGTGTTCTTGCGTTTTCTTTATTTGTGCAGGCCGCGTATTGTGTGTGTGTGTGTGTGTGTGTGTGTGTATGTGTGAGCGCTAGTGCTGATTTTGAATTAGGAAATGGCGATGGATTAGGGCGGCTAATGGTGCTTGACATTTATTTTAAGCCATTTAACGTGTTAGTTTGTATATTGGGCTAAACCCCAGGCTTGTGTAAGGCTGCACTTGTGATGCGTCATGATGATCTCTCACCTCAGATGGTGCGTTAATGCTCGGCATGATCAACCTTAACCGTTTTTATTTAATTATTTATTTATTTACTTGTTTGTTTTAATCATCCTGCAAGAAACGTGCAGCTTTTCGTAGAGGATGTGTCAGAGTTTGACAACGTGTGTGCATGCATGTGTAGCAGCACATTGTGTTGCTACTGATGCAGAAACAGCTTCTTAGCCCACATAGTGTGGCGATTCACTTTACTCTGTCAGTGGTGTCTCGCAGAGAGTGCAGGATCTGAACAGCTGCAGCTTTCTATTTTAAGCAGTGTGTGTGTGTGTGTCTTACCAGGTCACCAGAGTAAAGGGTGACAATTGTCAGTCACTTCCTATGTTGTCAGAAAGGACCTTTGGCAAGGCCATCCTGTAAAGATTCTCATGTTCATTTATGTAATCATCTTACCAAATTGATGGTGTGCAACGCGAGCCGTGCAGCGATTGCAAAGCTGTAATGCTTTTCTCTTGAAGTTGTTTAGTGTTGCACAAGGTTTGTTTTGTTTGACACAGACAGAGGATTGATTTAAAATTTTAACAGGAGCAGCCAGGATGTTTTTGGTAAACTGGACTGTGCCAGAATCTGTTTTGAAACTCGGACATCAGATAATATTTTAATAATGGGTTACCAGCAATTGTCAAGATCTTTCCATAAGCTAAAAAAAGCCTTCAAGGCCATTTTGACTTTTTCCTTGCTCCCCCCCTTTGCATAGATAGTTTCATACTGACTCATCTTTGCTCACTTTCAGTTGCCCTTCTTTTTCGAGTCTCCGGCCGTGGTTCAAAGGGCATGGGTTCCCTTCTTTTCCCTTTTGATGAGTCACTGAGTTGTAAGAGGAAAAAAAAAAAAAAAGTGGTTTCTATCACTTTCAGTCCGCCGTCTGTTACGCGGGAAAGGGAGCTTCCTTTTAGTCAAAGGTCACGTGTGCTGTTTGATAATGGTGATAAAGCAGTGGCACAATGAACAATTATGCTTCTCCTACAGTGCTTGTTTTTGTTTCATTGCTGATTAAATGCAGCACAGTAATATCCTGTGTGCCATTTCCAGGAACTATTGATTTGGCTGTCTCTCTCAACTACCTTATTTTGGTTCCAGTTT